CAGCAACAGGTTCTCTGCCTGGTTGCTGGGTGGGCGTGGCCATGGTGGGCATGGCCTAGTGAGCCTCTTGCACCATGGCGGGGGTGGAGGGTCCTCGAGCCTCCAGGAGGGCAAAAACAGCCTCCCTGGGCTCCGGAGGCCCTCCAGAGGCCGGAAACGAGCCCATTTCCATACTTCCAGGACTCCATGCGGACCCTGCACTTATCTCGCATCCAAAACCGGCCACGTGGAGACTCCTGGGAGGGGAGGGTTGGGAGGGGAAGGATGGGTGGGGCCAGCCAGAGGTGGGATCAGGTGGTATGCCAAACCAGCCATAAAGTTAACAACATAGCAGCCCATCCCTACTTAGGTTACCATCCAAGAACTTTGAAACCTAATTTTAATACAATTGTAGGAGATGACCAGGCTGAACCCGAGGGAGGAGTCAAATGTGTCATCTGTCCTGAGTCCTTTCGCTCCCACATGAGTCTTGGGCTGTTTCTAGTTTTTTGGAGCAAATTGGCTTTGCCAGCTCAAATTTGCAAAATAGCCATCCTTTCTCACATAAAGCACATTTTTGGATGAAATGGTTTGCATAATAGGAAATCAAATAAAGTATATTTGCATAAAGCAAGGGAAATCTGCAGGGATTTCCCGACTCAGCCATTTCTAGACTGAGTGTTATAATAAACATGCACAAAAATAGCCCAAAGTCTGAAATGAAGAACTTAAGTTCCACAGGCAAATGGTGGTTCTCATCATGGTTATCTCAAACAGAATGTGGTCCCACAGTAAAGCCACTCACACTAAATTAAAGTTGTTTTTTTCTGCTTTTGGTGTATTTCCTCTCCAAGGCCATAAAAATAAATTGTTCCGAAATAAAACTGCATTTATTTATTTTTTTGCCCTCAGTCGGCAACAGTTTTATAAATTGTGACATAACCTAGTTGGCTTTGCTTCACCATCCAGCGGCAAGCAAGGAGGAAGTGGGGGGGGAAATCAAGAATGGAATGGAATGGAATAGAATAGAATAGAATAGAGTAGAGTAGAGTAGAGTAGAGTAGGGTAGGGTAGGGTAGGGTAGGGTAGGGTAGGGTAGGGTAGGGTAGAGTAGAATAGAATAGAATAGAATAGAATAGAATAGAATAGAATAGAATAGAATAGAGGACGGAAGGAAAGGGAAGGGAAGGGAAGGGAAGGGAAGAGAAGAGAAGAGAAGAGAAGAGAAGAGAAGAGAAGAGAAGAGAAGAGAAGAGAAGAGAAGAGAAGAGAAGAGA